AATTAAATTTAAAAATAAAAATAAATACCGACTCATGGTTAAAAAATGAATATGTTTTTTCCTTAGAAATATTAATACTTTTATAAAGAAAATAATTTAATTAAATAAAAATTTAATGACTAAAGAAGGTAATTAAGATAATTGAAGGAGAGCTGGCAAGAGCTATTGCACGATTTTCTCGGTAAGAGATTAAAAGGACTAAAAGTCCGATCATTTTTAATTATACTACGATATAAAATTTAAATAATAAAAGCTTAAATAGAGTAATTTCGTTGAATGATAATAAATTCCTCTATTTTTCAAAAAAATAAAAAATAAAATAATAATATTTTACTTTTAAAAGCACGATGAGTATTGCTCGAGTGTAACGCTCTCTTTTATGAAATTTTACTTTAAAGATAATTATTATTAAAATAGGCAAAAGCCTTATTTTAAGAGGTAAGCTAGTTTTCAAAATATATAATATATATAAGCCTATATATAGGCAAAGTTTCAAAATTTTTATTTTAGATTTAGGTTTATCCAGTCCTAAAATACAGTGTAAAATAGACTCCAACACACACACACACACACACATGGAATTTTGTAAGGGATTTTTTCATACATTTTTGGGTTTGTAGTGCGTCAAAACGTCGAAAAATGCAAGAAAACCGGGGATCAAAATTTGACCGATTACCTACCTTCCCTATGTTATATTCTATAACAACCGGGAAAGTAATTTGCGTTATTTTATTGTATACATAAATAATAATAATTAAAATAATTTCTTTTTAATTTTAATAAATTTTATTCTCACCTCAGCCTCTGCTAATTTTTCCCATTCATCTTCATCCGTCATCATCTCAATTGATTTTTCTTCCAGAAATTTTTGTTCCTATTTTAAAAACAGTGAGCACAATTAGCACTATTAAATATATTTTTAAGAGTTCATAATATAAAAAATTTCTTTTTAATTTATAAATTATAAAGTAATTTTTATTCCGAACAGAATTTAAAGATTTAATCCTTAAAATTTTAAATTCGTTTTAAAAATAAAATTAATATTAAAAAATTAATAATAAATAAAATGCATAAATATATTTTATTTACAATTTCTATTCTTGATTCATCCTCAATGCTTAGACTTTTATCAGAAATTTTTTCCTGTGCTCTATATTCTTCCATTGAGATAAATTCAGATTCTTCTAAAATTAGATCCTTATCTGATTTTTCACTTTTTGCTGCAGCATCCTAAATTTAATTTTAAAATATCTCATTCATTTTGAATCATTAGCTTTAAATTTTTTTAGTTTTAAAAATTTAAATTCAAGAAAAAAAATTAATGGGTTAAATATGCTTCAAATTATAAATTAAGTTAGACTTAAATAAGAAAAATAACTGTTTATTCTATAAATTTTACTTTTGATTATTATCTTAAACTTACATCGAAGCTTTCGTTGCATATTTTATTTTCTTCCATGACAGTAAATTCAGATTCTTCTTCAATTATACCTCCATCTGATATATTATCTTCCCTATTATCATCCTAATTAGAGTTGTAAATATATTTATCGGTTTATCTTTTAATTTTGATAAATATTCTAATTACTTTTATTATTTTAAACAACTTTACATTTATAAATTTTACAAAACTTGTCAAATTTATCATATAGCCTACAGTAATACCTACATTTATAACTCTAAACGATTCCGTTGAGGTTTTAGCTTCTGTCAAGAATTTCTTAATCTAGATTAAAATTACATTAACGAATATTTTATGAAAGTAATTAATTATTTATATATTTAAATAGATTTATTAAAATAATTTTTGCCAGTTTGTATTGCAAGAACGTTTTGCTTGAAATACAAAGATTAGACAAAGATGTGCTAAAAGTATTATATAGGTAACTTAAAGAAATCAATCAAATTTTAATAAATACCATGAGAATTATTCCTATAAATAATATTAATGCGATACAGAATATTACAGTCAGGTTGTAGTCTTTAAGAATCGTGAAAAATACAATCAATAGCCAATGAAATAATGAGCAGAAAGCATTGTTGTTATGTAAATATTATTATTTTTTCATGTTTTTAATAGTTAACTGTTATATTATTTTGTTAAGATAATTAATTCCAAAGAATTATTAGATTCGTGTATTAATATTATCAATATTTATATTTTCAATTTTATTGATTTTGTGTGGTGAATCTTCTATGCGCGTTAATAGAACGTAATTAAAGGCTGATAGTAAATGCTACATTTTAATTATCTAAACATGTTTAATATGCTCTTTATAATTAAACTTAATTCAAAACTATGTCATATAACGTGGTAATTTTGAGGGGAAAAGATTAGAATGTCAATAAATTAAAGATGAATTAGTTTAGTTTTATAACTTCAAAAGATTTACTAAATCACCCAGTTATAAGTTTGATATCAAAATGAAATATAAATGTTTTTAGTAGACTAATGTATAATTTATTGGTAATTTATTAACATTAAGGTATAACGTTACTATAGAATAATATTGTTAACAACTGATAAAAAGTTTACAGAAGTATTATTGAAACTAAAGTACTGAACAGGACTAAACTGTAAATAGAATGAGACTCATTTTACGTAACTCGTCTTCTATTTTTAATTACTTAAAAAATAAAAAATAATGATTACAANACATTTATAAATTTTACAAAACTTGTCAAATTTATCATATAGCCTACAGTAATACCTACATTTATAACTCTAAACGATTCCGTTGAGGTTTTAGCTTCTGTCAAGAATTTCTTAATCTAGATTAAAATTACTAAAATTACATTAACGAATACTTTATGAAAGTAATTAATTATTTATATATTTAAATAGATTTATTAAAATAATTTTTGCCAGTTTGTATTGCAAGAACGTTTTGCTTGAAATACAAAGATTAGACAAAGATGTGCTAAAAGTATTATATAGGTAACTTAAAGAAATCAATCAAATTTTAATAAATACCATGAGAATTATTCCTATAAATAATATTAATGCGATACAGAATATTACAGTCAGGTTGTAGTCTTTAAGAATCGTGAAAAATACAATCAATAGCCAATGAAATAATGAGCAGAAAGCATGAAGAATACACGAAAATATTGAATAACTACGCCTATTTAAAAGTTTTTCATCTTTTTCTTCCTCAAAACATGTCTATAAATTTAAAAATATGATATTTATAAGTAATTTAGTTCTTATAAACTTTCTTTTATGCTATTAAAAAAGTAAAAAAGTATTATCCTGTAATTTTACTTGTACTGCTTGATTTTCGTAAGAAATATTTTCCTTGTTGAAATCGGAAAAGAATTTATCTTGATTATTATTTTCTAATTAAAAAATAATTGTTTAAAAATAAAATAATTTAAATTAATAGACTACTGTATTATTTTTATTGTATTAAAATTTTATAAAGAAACTTACCTTTCTCTTCGCACAAATTGCTTTGTATATTACTAATGTTACTCAGAAAAAATATTATTAAAAGCACATAAAACGACATTTTTCTTTAATATTTTAAAAATAAAAATAATGCATTTTGATCATCCAATTTATTATGATATTTTTTATTTTAATCATAATAAATTATAATATTTTTTGTTGAATTAAGCACGATTTAGGCCTAGTATCTTGCTTTCTTAATTTTTAATATTATTAAATAAACAAGCTTTAAGTAAACAAAACCTTAAGTTGATAATTTTTTTATTATTAATAACAATATATTTCAAATTATTATTGACTAATTATTTATTCTTTTATCTATGATTTTCAAAAATTAAGCTTTTATGACTGTTAGTGAAGTGTTTAATAATCTGGAAACTAGAGACTTGGCGAGATCAGGAAGCTTAATGAGAAAGAGTGCGATGAACTTTCTTAATAGATATAAATAGCTAAAAAATAATTAAAAATTATTTTAAAAATTATCAACAAAAAATAAATGTAGCCTATTTAAAATATTAAAAATGTTTCAAAAATTACTGTTTTATTCATCAATGTGTATTGCTAAAACATGACAATTATGTATATTATACATATATGCATGCAGGGCCTAATTTACAGTTAAGATTTAAAAAATCTACAGCTTAAGGGCTCATGCTACCTGGCTAAAACTTAAATTGAATAGCACGAGATCTTATAGCATGAGTCAGTGCTGTTCAACTATTGGCTTCAGTGTCACATTTGACCCACAGAAAGAAATTCTGTGATAAGCAAATGAAGACTAAACTGAATCCGTTTCTAAATGTTTTTCACTATTTCGTCATTTCCAGTAGAACGGTATTAACCTATAAGTGTGATTTTAGGCCTATAATTTTACTTTTTTAATAAATTGAATTAATATAGATTTTTATATGATAAAATGTCATGCAGCATCAATAATTGTTTCACTTTTCACTTCTAAAAGAAAAATTAAGTGGATGAAGCCATTTTCTGATGGAGATCTAATTAAAAGCTGTGTCAGTAACAAGACTAAAGCCATTGGAACAGACAAATTAACCGAAAAGTTTAAAATTGTTTTACTTTCATATCAAACTGTAGGTTGTAGTGTGAAAGAAATGTTAGTGACAGACTAGAAAAGATCATTTAGTACTGCTCTTACTTTTCTTTGACTTTAGATGAGTCTAGAGATGTATCTGATACAAATGCTGATATTTATTAGAATTGCAATGTTTAATTATTCTGAGGAACAAAACATAGAACGTGTAAAGATAAAAACATTACTAATCGACAAAATTATATATAAGAAAATATAGCGGTTATTGACAAAATGCACCGCTTTTGTAACTGACGAAACTAAATATTGGACTTGCTGATTTGTTGAAAATACAGGGAAACAAATTTCAAATGCTACATTGCTTTTTTAGACTAACAAGCATTGTGTGAGTCTTCTCGGGAGCAATCTCATGCATCGGATAAGATAGTGAAAATATCAAATTTACACATAGAAAAATTTAAAATATTTAGATGAGTTTGGTACCAAATTTGATTGTCTGATTTTACATAATCGAATTCGTTATCCGAATGCCGGAAAATGTTTAGCGAGATTTTTTCAAACTTCGAAAAAAACCTTATCTCTTTTTTATTGAAAGAAATAAAATTTGACAGTGATCTATTGTAAGAGTCTTAGTGATGTCAATTTCCTTAGATCGCTCGATTTTCTAATATATCCTGCAGTATTTGAAGATGTTAAATATTACTCGATAAGGGAAGACTAAACACATCTATAATCTTTAAATATTTAAAGCTGGTTTCGCTACCATTGTTAAAAATCAAATTTAGATATGAAACAATAGGTATCATCGGTACAATAGGTACTGTACAGTACTATACCCTTTCTATCAAGTTTATGAACTCGAACCATTATAATTCTCGTTAAAAACTGGCCCACAATCTTTATAGAAGTTGAGCAATGATTTAGTTAATAGAAGAAGGGTCTCTTATTTTAATTTAGGGTACAATATGTTTAAGTCCTGTCCTGTATATACTTTGCCCTCAAATGTCGTAGATTACACGGCACGTCTACTAGAAATGTTTTAGTATAAGAAATTTTTCAATTAATATTTCCTAAAATTGTGAAAAAAAAAACTATATTTTAATTCGTTTTATCAAAATAAATATATAAATTTTTACTGACAAGTGAGTAAAAGATACATTTCTTTAACATTAAATAATTATAACTTAATATTAATTTAAATCCGCTTAAGTGTTAAAACAAACGATTTATCATTAAACTCTTTAAAATTTGTTATTAATTTTATATATAAGATCAATTAAATTTATTACAAAATCTAAGATTTTTCACTTTAAAATATAGTATATATATTTGATTTTTTAGATTTTTAGGCATATTTTTAAAAGATTTTACAGTGAATTTTAAGCGTATTTATAATAACTACGAAATTTTTTTAAATAAGAAAAATTTTATTTAAATTAAATATTATCAATACAGTTCATTCAAGAAAATGTAGACAAATAATTTTAAAAAAAGTTAAAAAGTTTTTAAAGGAAAAATAACACTAAAACTAAATCAAACTACTCAATGAACAGGAAAGAAAACAAATCTACAATATAAACAAACTCAAAATAAATTAATATTATGAAGAAATTTTTATATAAATCAATTATTTGTATCATATCTGTTTCAGTTCAAAAGCCCAAATGTGATGAGGCCATCCTGTTCTTATCTTAGAATTCTTTTTCAAGTTTTCTTCTGCCTGAAAACAAACATATATTTTGAAATTTCTATTAATATTATGCTAATATACACAATCATATTATATTTAAAGTTGATAATTGTAAAGTACTATACAGTATATAGAAAAATCTATATGAAATTAATTTAACTAACTATGTTTAGACACGATAAAGTATATGTCTATATAAATAATTATTGGTCCAACTATACTCAAGCGCTAAATTTTACTCTTACTTTAATATTAATGCTTATTTTTTAGGTAACAAATATTATAATGGAACGAATTCTTTAAACTGCGATTTGACTTATTTTATTTAAGTTCCACAAATCTTATAGAATCGCTAGAACACGCCATTGAAGGATTTTTAAATAAATATATAATTTAATTTGCCAAAACATTATAATTTATACATTGAACAAAAAAAGATCTTATTTTAAAAGATTTTTAAGTAATAAAATATTCGAAAAACAGCAGTTGAGTCTTTACAATGGTTAACTGACATTTGAGCCGATTTAACAAATAAAATTTTACAAAATAGGCCTATAATTAATTGCTGAATATAGATTATAGTGTTTAAAGTGTATTATTTATAATTATAAACGTATGAATTATTGTTCATGTTTTATGATTAGTTACGAATCTTTATTATATTTAAAAGAGTATATTCAGACCAAATGAAAACTTAAATTGAATGAAATTTACATATAATAATTTGCATACATAAAATAGGTCTAAATATTTTCTATTGTTGTATACAAAGATGTTATGGCATGTATTGTACCGTACTTTGTATATACTGTACTGTACAGTAGCAGCATTGGCATAAATATTAAAAAAAACTAAATGAATAAAATTTTTTTACATTAAAAATTCAGTTAATTTATGTATTTATAATTAAACTACATTAGGCTGATAATTTAAATATTATGATATAACATTAACGTAATTATTATTAGTTAATGAAATTACAAAATGTACCGTACGTAATTTCCAGTTTAAAGAAACTTTCATTTCAAAGTCTCTACTGAACGAAATATAAATTATTATTGTTATGACATTAATCAAACTTAAACATGTAAATTTGTAATCATTAAACTCTATAACTGTGGCGGTTAAAGTTATTATTAAAGCGATTATAACCGTTTTAAAATCGTTAGTTGTAGTATGAAGCTGTTTATGATGAATTTAAACGTAGTAGATATTAGCTCCAATGACATAAAGGTTTACTAATAAGCGTGATTTTATAAATATTTACGGTCCGAGTTTTATAGGTATGTTATAGACTGTGACAATTTTCTTATTATTAAAAACTTACGTGTTTCTCCTGCGAATGATCCCTCTCATCACTTTCTGGTAAATCTCTATTCAACAACTCCATTAGATGAGCGATGTAGGTAGTGGCAAGCTGTAAAGTTTTAATTTTGGATAATTTCGTGTCGGAAGGAACATTTGGGATACATTCCCTGAGCTCTGCAAAGGCGTGATTTATGGATTGTGTTCTTCGTCTTTCCTTCTTGTTAGCAGAAACTCTACGACGAGTGTTTCTTTGCCCGTTTTCTTCTCCTATCCATCGAACGGTCGCAGTTTCCCATCCGGACGTCACTCCCCCGACTCTTAACGAAGGGCAATACGGATCGCGGGCCGTTATAGGCCAAAGAGTAAGGCAAGAATGGCCCGCTAGAGGATACGTACTCTGATAGAAAGAAGAATAAAGAGTTTCCGATTGAGTCACGGGATTAGCGTAATTACCTAGAAAGTTCATAGTCATAAAGTGATAAGAAACAGACGAAACTACAACCAAAAGAAACTTAATAATTGAACGAAAGCTTGATTTTCAGTCACGTGCTCTTATTCTTATCCGTCCCATTTTTAATGTAAGTTACTATTGGACGAAAGACGTTAGTAACTCCTCCCACTCTTAAACCCGTCCCTACTAAAATGATACGTAATGGCGTATATCATAAATAATTAATGACGTCTTCTCAATTTTAAACTCTATTTTACAGAATTACATATATAAGATGTTATGATTCACAATATTTATTTTTAAAACTATAAATCTAAAACAAGATTGAATTAACATATGGGGAGTAGTGAAGATCTAAATAAAGCACACAAACAATTCATTTATCAACTGGTCATCATTCAGACCTTATCAGAGGTGATGGAATGCGTTAAGCATCACTCTTCAACGACACTCGATCTTCTCCTCCCTAGCTCCAGTATAGAGTTTTGCCAGCTTAAGAAAACTCTTCTAACGTTCTACTCTTGTAGATCTATCTCAATAACATTCTTTTTGTAATTTTTACAGAAATATTAATTGTATTTGCCTAAAATTTGAAATTATGTACTTGAAATATTTGTTAACAAATCTATATTATATTATAATTTCTACTAAACGCAGATTACAAGATAAGAAGCAAGTCAGTTGTTAAACTATAAATTTAAGAAGACTAATTCAGTTTTTAAAAATAAATTACAGTTTAATCATAAATATTTTATCGAGATTTACATTTTAAAGTTTTAATTGAAAACTATAATGATCTATTACATATATAAGTTATAGGCCTAAATCTAAACTTGCAACTTTCTTAGGCTTACTATTAATAAAAATAGCTTATAATTGCTTTGACTATATGAACCGCTTATTGTTTCTGAAGTTTACATATTTTATTTTGAAAACACATTATTATAAAACATTTAAATATGTTTTATAATAATGTGAATTAGACTTTACCTGAATATTGTAGCATGTAAAAAGTTATTTTTACAACTTGTAAAAATATGTAGTTTAAAATAATTTTCCTTTCAAAATTACTTATATATGTGCTTAGTTACTCTACTATTCTAAATATTATTAAAAAATACATAGGCCTAGATATTTCTGTTTATAACCTAGTTTTCTGTAATCTTAAACAGAATTTTTAAAAAGTTTAAGTTTTTAATAACGAAATTAATTCGTTGCTAAAGAAAAAACAGTTTTATGAAATTCGATATAGGCCTAGATCTGTATAATTCACAGTTTATATTTTTATTGAACTAAATTATAGACAAATTAAACTAAGATTTTTATGCAACAAAATGATTGATCTTTAGAACGAATGAATGAAGTTTAATCTATAAAGTTTACTTATGTGTTAAGTAAATTAAGGTTTAAATAGAACACAAATTAAATTGTTTTTATTAAAATGAACATTTTAAAACGAAATTAGGACATAACTTTATNAAGTTTTTAAACACTTTAAAATGTTTAAAATCTCACACCTCTTTTACCACTTTTTCAAATTATATAAATAAATTCATTAAGGAAATTTCGGGTTTGCTAAATTATTAAAAATCTGCAAACAAATATCTAAATATTCGATTTATGTAGGTCCAATTATTGTGTGTTCAATCAAGATGGAATGACGTTTTATCGAAATCATATCAACTAATTATAGTATAGCTCCTAAGGGGCTATTTGGGTTTGTTTAGTGTGCTTTGTTCAATCGATCCTTTCATATTGATGCACGAATTGTTACAATTTATCGAATACGACCCTTCATTATATTATAAATAAAATTTAAATCGATAAATACAAATGTATAGAGAATTGTTTTAAAAAATTTTTAAATCTATTCTAAAATTTATTAGCAAAAGAAATTATAAAATGTAATCGATGATGCATGCTAAACTTATCGATCAAATGGGGTTACAATTTAAACATTTTATCAGCAACACACGTCTAAATACAATTTTCTATAACAAACAAGTTATTAAATAGCAATTTTTTTATAAGGGATTGGTTCTTTGTTACATTAATAAAATTACTTTTAAACAATATTATCGTGACCTATAGCTTTTATTGTCGCCATTATATACGTCTATGTAGAATATTCACTAGAAATTTAAGTATATATATATATTTATTTATTTATTCTATAGATTTAATGGTTATTTTGTGATCATGATAATGAAACAAACAGATAAAACATGAGCAAATTAAATTTTAGATAATCTGGAATTAATTTTTCTTTAAATCAGAATGAATGCATGTAGAAATATAATTTAAAAAAAAAAAACAAGAATTACTCAAAATAAATCGAATTGTAGGAAATTTTATAACTGATTCCTTACAATGGCATATTTGGGGAGGGGCGATAGGGCAATCTCTCCAATAGGTACGTTTTTAAATTTGTATAAAGTGTATCAACTACTAATTGATTATTATTCCGCTTAATTGGCAGCAGTACCCGAACTTTACCTAGACCAACGATGGCAAACCTTTTCCTGAAGGTGAGTCAAAATTAAATTTGAAACTTGTAATCTCTAGATCGCGGGTCAAATATTTAACTTGAATAATTAAAAAAATAACTGAACGCGCTTATAAATTTTATTTTATTTTTTAACTGTTTAATCTATCCTACATCACAAAAATAAACACAAAAACTTTCTATTTGTAGTTCGTAATTATAAGATTTCAGGACCCTTTTTCCACTACATAAACAAAATTTTGAAATCTATCGATTTTTTAAATTTATAAATCTAATATTTTATAAACATTCAATTTGGAATCTTGAAATTTACAGGTTCATCATCTCTGCCTTAGATGGTCACCAATCCAGGTATTAATCGGGTTACATTTTATCGAAATTCTATGAGAACCGGTATTTAAAACAGTTTCATCATTACCTACATTATATTAATCAACTTTTGATAAATTTCAATCAATCGAAAGTAACATTTTACTAGTTATGTTTCCTAGTTTTTCAATATATTCAATCAAGGACGTCCTCAGAAAATTTTACAGAGATAGAAGCTAAGCTTAGAGAAAAATAATAAAATAAAAATTTATTGATTTAATTTTTTTTGGTTTTTTTTTCCTCCCTCTACAAGTAAATTATATAATACAGTATTGCATCAAAGCAATGGTCGAATGTAAGGTTACACATCTCAATCATTCTTACGATTATAATTTGTTGAATTTTTTACTCTATTCCAGAAGAATTACCCCGTTTCCCCCCTTTGCAACACTTCAGACTTGGTAATCATGTTCAAATTTTGCAGCAAAGTATAAATGTGCCCCCTTGATTTTAAGATGATATCGTCTTCCATAAGGTTATAATTGAATCCACCCTGGCCCTTTTATTAAAACTTAAAAAGACTTCAAATATCTTTTGATATATTAGAAAAATAAATTTAAAAAAACACAAAAGTTGAACAATTTTCAGGATAAAATTGATTGTAGTAAAAAATGTTCACAGGAATATTTTATAAAAAAAATTCTAATGGATCTCCTCTAAAAGCATTCTGACGATAAGTCAAAATCTGTTGTGGTCCTCTCTTAACACTTCTCCCCGATCCACTCCTTATTTCACTTAAACGATGAAAGAATGTTGTTGTAAGGGAGGATAATCTAAATACTTTTTACAAACGTTTGATTGTTTGTTTATAACATCTATAAAGTACTTTTAAATATTGAAAAAAATATATAGGCCTATATATTGGCTATTTCATAGATCTAAACCAGTTTTACCTATCTCCCGATACTTATAAGAAAGTATGCAACTGAGGGTCAAAATGGAACCAAACAGAGATTCCCTGTTGAGAAAGTATTCAGAAAAGGACATGCCCTTACTTCATTTTGTCTTTAATTAGTTCTGCAACACATCATGCGAAAGATAGACAGGAATAGGCCGACATTCCAACGTACAAACGAGTGACTTTATCGATATTTTTTCCACATTTATCTTATTATTAATGTCATCAACAGCATAAATATACCTAAAATTTAATTTCTCAACCTTAATTTGGTACTGTATAATACCATAAAAGTTTAAAGATGGACTGGGAAGATGGGGATCAATAATTAGTTAATTGATGCAGCTAAATTTTAGTGATAGCGATAAGTATATCCATTTGTAGTCTCAATACTGACAGTCTTTATCAGCATAAAATTAATATACAATGACTCTTCTTGAACATTTACGAGAAAATTTACAGATAAGATGGGAGGCTGAAGATGAAGATCAAACGATTATTTCTAGTTCTAACCACAACCTTAGCGGTTTCTTAACAGAATCTAAGAAAGAACAGTAGGAACTCTGTTGAAACAGTTCATTTACTACCCTATTCGTATCCGTCCACTCTCATGGATAATTAATAAAGTGATGAATTACTTGAAGCCTTCTATTCTCTAAATAACATCAGTCTAATGCTGTTTAAAGACGATAAACTTTTTCACATCACTTCTGAAAAACCATTTTTTACAATTTAGTAGATGTTTATTTAATTAACAGACTAACAAACAGACGGGTTTAATGTATACTCTGAACTGGAACCTCCGTAAAAAGTGCAAAGTACTTTTTTCCTGTATAAAAATTGACAGATGATGTCAGGTGTTGAGTATCATTCCAGTTAGTAAAGAGTATTTCTTCGCTGATAACCGTCACCAACTGTTTTATTCGGTTAGGAATGTAGTTGTATGAACAGTTGTTTGTTCTTAATTTTGGCAAGTTGTTCCGCAGATTCTACTTTAGAAACAAAGATACATTTATCTTACGTTTTGGTAATTAATAACTTACCGAAATTGTTTTTAAAGGAAGATTCTCGAAGTTAAACGCAATTCAAAATCACACTAAAAGGTACAAAAATGCACAAATTATTCTTCATTCCAATTAAATAAACTGTGAAATATTAATAATAATGATTTTATATTTTAAAATATTTGGCAATTATAATATAAACTCAATTAAATTCACTTTAATTAAAATCCCGCGTTTTATCTAACAATATTTTAAAATATTTGGC